TGGAAGAATCACCTGAGCCCAGCAGGTCAAGGCTGCAGTGGCCATGAACGTGCCACTGTACTCCAGCCTGGATGACAGAGTGAGAGACTCCAACTCAAAAAAAAAAAAAAATGTATCACAAGTTGCTGATCACTTCATCTCAATTTCTGTACTTATTTCAGAGGCTATTAATATCCTATAGACCATATGTTTAGTTGCACTATACTTCAGGGTGTCAGTTTATCTATCCAGGTGCATTTGCTTTTAATCAGGAAAAGCAGCATTACTTGAAGGCTTTTTGTGATTTCTAGCTCCATTGAGAATGGGAGCTCTGATTGCCCTTTACAAAGGGTTACCAAATCTTTACCCTCTTGTTCTGCTTTCGATCAAGACAAGACCTGCTTCCCTTTTGTGAGGTTAGACTCATCTGCACCTGTATCTTCATTTTCTCAGACTGGATTATCTCCCTAACCTACCTGAAGAGTTCATAAATCCTTTTGTCTGTCCCAATATGCTGTTGAGCCCCTTTTGTTAATTTTTTTCCCAATTATTATACTTTTGAAATCCAGAATTCTGATTTGGTTCTTTTTATGTTTGTTGATATTCTCTATTTGTTTTTATGCTTTTTAAAAATTATTTAGACATCGTTTCCTTTAGCTCTTTGAACATACTTAAAAATAGCTAAAATTAACTCCTTTAAGTCTAGTATCTATGCCTCCTCAGGGAATGTCTATTGATTTTTCCCCTGTATATTATCATCTTCATCTACATTCCTCTTAATTATTTAATAAAAACTGTACATTTTGGATATTATAGTGTGGCACTTGTGGCAGTCAAATTCTTGACCCTCCACTGAGTTTTTTGTTGCCGTTGATTGTCTTTTTTCTTTGTTTTGTGACTTTTCTGAATTAATTTTGTATAGTCTGTACCTTTGTCATGTGCTACAACTGCAGTTTCTATTATGTTAGCTTCATGGTCTGCAAAATATTGGATAGAGATTAACTTAAATGCCTAGAACCAAAAACAAAAAACTCCCAGCCTTTGTAGAGAGGCTTTGTGTGTGTGGCAGGTTTGGGGAGAAGGAGGGAACACATTTAGTACTCAACCAGGCAGTTTACATCTCTTCTTTTGCCTATGCTTTTTGCTTGTACAGCACTTCAAGGTTAGTCAGCATGAGAGCTTACGGCCTTATCACATCTTTGCTGAGAATGTGCAACTCCCTGGGTATATGGTCTTCTAGATTCCAAAGAATGTGTTAGAACTTCTCAAAGTTCCCAAAGCATCTTATTCCCCAGTCTTTCCTCGCTAGTTTTTTGGTGATTCTGTTGTTTGTCCCAACTGTTTTCTGTTATTTCAGACAGTAGTGACTAAAACATTTTGCCTGTAAATGTTTTCTATGAATTAGAGTAGCAGATTTAACACTGGGCAAGTTGTGAGATAGGTAAGATAAAGATAAACCTTTTGAGCAAATTTTCTAGGGAGTCACCATATAGTTCAAAACCAATCATTGCAATACTTTCAGAATGAGGTCCATTCCTCTCCCTCCAGTGCTAGTATTGAGAATGCAAGCTGTTATTTTTCAAGGCTGCTGATGAGCTTGAGAGCAGGGGATGGGAGTGGAGTAATTTATAACACCACTTTTTAAGACTTTTTTTTTAAGCCAAGAGTCAGCAATTTTTCATGAATAGGCACTTCCAGTGTTGCTATAAGTTTCTGGTTTGTATAATTCTGAAGAAGTTGATCCTACGGGTTTTGACAGTTTTTCCTTGCTTTTATAGAAGGATGGATTCCTTACTCAGCCATTTTAGCTGATGTCACTCTCTAAAGAAAACCCAGAAGATGTGAATATAAATATTGTAAGTTCCTTGCTTCTTCCAGAAATAGTCATCTTCCAACACCATAACTTATTTTGTGTTCATTTGTTCTTGATCTATATAGCTCCTTGGACATTGAGGAGATTATCTTATATTCCGGTTTATAAATGGTACTTCTCTTCCTTTTATTCAATGTCTTGGTAACTCAACAGCCAAGGTTATGACCAACACAACTAAGGGAAGTAAATCATTGGAATATCAGTGCCAGTTCTGCATGCAGATTTTGAACAATTCAGTTCCTCTAGGCCTATACAAAGTGATTTCCAGAGTTGCCTTAATACTTTTTCACAGTAGATCAGGATATCATCTCGATTAGTTTTTCTAACACCCATTCTATAAATTAGGTCATTGCTATAGTTTTCTAACTTTAGTTTTTGTTCTATGAATCACCTAGGGCAGATGAAAATTCCCACAGCCTGTTCTCCTATTCTGATTTAATAGATCTGAACTAGGGCCAAAGAGTGTGCATTTTGAATAAATACCCGTTTTATTTTTATCTACACCAAAGTGTGGATCACTACGTCCTAGCATTAATCAAACTCAAAGGGGACTAATACATAAAGCATAAAGCCAGTTTCTTAAAATGAGAAATATAACTGACCACAGGGAAGATAAGAAATTCTTAAACTTGATGCCTTCTCTCCCTTTAGCTTCTAATTCCTATAGGGGAACTGTTTTGGTTTTTTTGTTGGTTTTTTGTTTGTTTGTTTTTAGTTGAAGTCTCACTCTGTTGCCCAGGCTGGAATGCAGTGGCATGCTCCTGGCTACCACAGCCTCGACCTGCTGGGCTCAGGCGACCCTTCTGCCTCAGCCTTCCACATAACTGGAACTATAGGACTCACCACCACACTGGCCAATTTTTTGACTTTTTGTGGAGATGAGGTCTTCCCAAGTTGCCCAGGCTGGTCTCAAACCCCTGGGCTCGGGCAGTCCTCTCGCCTCAGCCTTCCAAAGTGCTGGGATTACAGGTGTGAACCGCCATATCTGACTGAGGTACTGTTAATTAATATAGATGCTACTGGCTGATTCTAGGGAGATTTCCAGTTCACAAGGGATTCCTAAAATATTGCGAAGGTCTATGGAACTGTTCTAGTTTCCTTCACATCTCAGCAAGAATTACCTCAAAAATATGAACAAGATAAATTATGACTGACTTTTTCCAGCGAGGTCAAAATTCTCCTATCTACCTCTTGACTAATAGGACAAATTATAGTGGAAATAGGTTAATCCCAGATCCTCATTATATTTGTATACCACTAGAATATAAATTATTGCAAATGTACATTGTGATCCATACTCGAAATGTCTTATAGACATATTATATATATCTAAAACTGAGTTATTCCCGCTTCACTTTTCCTTCCTTTCCCAAGAAAGGCTTACTTCTTTTGGAGTCCCTGTGTCAGCATTCAAAATAGTCTTTCTGAAACCTGTGAATTACCCTAGATTCTTCTTACTCATCCCTCTGTGTGTGTCTTTTAATCCTGTCAACTTTTCTATAAAACCAATGCCTCTGACTTAGTTCATCCCCAAATAAACTTATATCTAGATTATTTTAGAACCCTCCTAATTTTTTCAAATATTGTTTGGTCCCATTCTTTCTCTTTTCTCTTGGTCTTTCAGCTATGAATATGCTAGGCCTTTTTCCTGTGTTCTTCATCCCTCTAATACTTTGTTTTGGTTTGTAAGTTGTTTTTTTTTTTTTTTTTTCTTGTGTACTTTAGTTACTGTATGTTCTATGGATCTGTCATCCAGTTTACTAATCCTTATCTCTTCTTCTGTATTTAGTCTGCAGTTAAACCCACTCCTTACATTCCTATAGTTCTTCATTTAAAATACTATATTTTTAACTTAAATATCTCTGATTTTTTAATAGATTTTAATTCTCATAAAATTTTTCATCTTTTCATATATTTTCATTCTTTTAAAAAATATATTGATCATAGTTATTTTAAAGTCCTTGCTTAAGTCATGTTTGGGGCTCTTTTTAATATCTTTTTTTCTCTTGGATTTCAGTATTTGGTCCTTTTCTTTTTACATGATAGTTTTTATAAGAGTCAGAAATTGATGACAAGCTGTAGAAGCAAAGAGTGCTAATATTTGTTCTGGCAGCCCAAGTGCAGGATGTTCACTTGCTCTGTGGGGGCTTGTTTTTAGGCTTTGTGAGGGCTTTTCTATTTTGTGCATTATAAAATAGAAGGAGGATCTGGCTCCTCTGGCCCTGCTGGGTCTCAAATAAAAGTCTGCAGGATTTAGTACTTGAACTGCACCTTGAACTCTGGTCTCTTTCTTCACAGTACCATGTTATTGTTTGTTGTGTCTTCAACCTCTCAGTTTCTCTTTCCTCCTGACTTTTTTTGGTCCAATTGTCGTGTGTATGTGCAGGTTAGGAGTCAGCAAATGACTTGAGAGGATTTTTTCTGGAATTTTTTTCTGGTTTCTTTCCTGTAATTTCTTTCTCTCCTGAAACCCCCACCCCCACCTCCATCCTGCCCTCATATCTCAGTAATTTGGCAACCCTGATTTTAACTTTTGCTTTCCATCTTGGTATGACTCCAAGCTACAATTTGGGAACTACCTCCAGGGAAGAAGATGAGATGAATTTGGAGCTTGCCTTTTATGGCTCCTGCTTTCAAAGATTATAACTCCTCTCTTCTTGCTGGTTGCTGACTACCTCTAAATGGTGGTTTATTTTCTTTCCAACTGATGAAAACTTGATGTCCACGGTGTTGATTTTATAATTTAACTTTTATAAGCCATTTTACTTTCCTTATGTCCACCTTTAAATTGTAGGAGAGGTGGAGGGCCTCATTTATGCTGATAATTAAGAAAAACACTCATCTCTCTTAAGTGGCTTATGGAGAATAATTTTTATACAATTTTATGTTACGACATGAAAAGCACATGAATGAAAGGAACTGTTTTTGAGGAAAGGCTCAATGTAAAAGGCTATATAAGTATAAAATTGTTGCACATAATATATTCCTTAATTTAGAGAATATTCAACTGGTTTCTGTGTTTAATCAGAAATAAAGAAAATGTTGTGTATATTTTCACTTGTCATTTCATATAGTAAAAATCTGGCTTTGAAAATGATTTAAGTGTAATCTTAATATAGTTTTCACAGATTTCTGAATTCTTTTCTAGTGGATTAATGACTTGGAAAATGATAGTTTGTATGTTACATGGCCTACAAGTTGCAAGGAATTTCTGAAACCAGCATTCTCTGGAAGTGTACCTTCCATAAGGCGTAATTTTCATAATTTGGTGAGTTTTATATTTTAATTTTATAATATTTAATATTATATCTTTTATATATTATAATTTTATAATATTGTTAATATTATAAAGATATTAGCATTCCTTTTTTTTTTCTTTTTGAGTAAGAGTCTCACTCTATTACCCAGCCTGGAGGGCAGTGGCACACTCACGGCCACCGCAACCTTGACCTGCTGTGCTCAGGCAATTCTTCCACCTCAGCCTTCTAAGTAGCTGGAACTACAGGCATGCGCCATCACGCCTGGCTAATTTTTCTTGATTTATTGTGGAGATGGGGTCTTGCCAAGTTGCCTTGGCTAGTCTTGAACCTGTGGTCTCAGGCATTCCTCTCACCTTGGCCTCCCAAAGTTCTCGGATTATAAGTGTGAGCCACTGCGCCTGGCCTTGAATTTTTTTTTTTTTTTTTTTTTGAGACATCAATATTATTTTTGGATTACTCTTCTGTCAGTGACTAGACATCTGAGTTGTAGGGAAGTAAGGATGAAACAAGTTTGCCCGGTGAACAAGCTGAGGTAGGATTCCTGACTGGGTACCAAAACCTAGCAGTGTCATATAACCTTCCTCTTATTACTCAGCCCTCGTGTCATTTTATAATACCAATATTAGTGTTACTTTTACATTTTCTTAAAGGAATTTATGGTAGAGCTTATCTTCATTCTATATTATAAAGAACCAATGATTAAAAACAGTACATTTCAGGGAAAAATGCAAAAATACCACTTTATCATCTATGCATATGTTTATTATTGCAATATTAATAGTCAGCCAACCTTTCTGGAACTTTGAAATGTGCAGAAAATACCTAGGGCTTTTTTCCCCTACATAGTAAGTGAATATCTTATTTTCTGCAATAATTTTCAAACAATTATGTTAATGCTATTTTTTTGTCATAATTTAATTTCTATTTCCCTTTGAAAAAAATTATCACAGAAAATACAATGAACATTTAGAATAAGGTATTTCACTTCATGTAAAAAAAAACAAAACAAAAAACTACACTTCCAAAAAGACAATGAAAAATCTGATATTAAGTTTTATGTATAATTATATTTGGATGAGTAACTTTTAGAAATCCTTCATAAATTATGAAATTCTTTTATGTATGCATTCCTCAAAGTTCTTTAGAATTGTTAGAATTTTCTTTTTTTTTTCTTTACTTTTTCAAAATTTTATTTTAAAGATGTGGGATGCAGTTCAGGATTAGGTATACAAATGGTCATCGTACAGGTAAAGTTTGGGCCTACCTTTGGTCCTCACTTTGACTGGTTTGAGATCAGGGACACTTATTAATGTTATGTAGTTATACCTTGGATCTAGGTGTGGTGGCTCACACTTGTAATCCCAGCACTTTGAGAGACTGAGACAAGAGGATTGCTAGAGCCCAGGAGTTAAAGATCAGCCTGGGCAACATAGCAAGACCTTGTCTCTACAAAAAAAATTTTAAAAATTAGCTAAGCATGGTGGTGTACGCCTGTAATCTAAGCTACTTGGGAGGCTGAGGCAGAAGAATCGCTTGAGCCCAGGAGTTCGGGGCTGCAGTGAGCCATGTTTATGCCATTACACTCTAGCCTGGGTGACACATGGAGATCCCAACTCAAAAAAAAAAACGATACCTTGAATTTCGTACTTTTAGCTACAAAAACTAGACTAACCTTGAATTTTGTGAAAATTCTAAAGTGTTAAAATAGTGATTATGTACTATCTTTTTTTTAGGTTCTGTTTATTGATCCTACTCAAGAATATAGCTCAGATTTGATAAGACTTGCTGGACTTCTCTATTTGCATGAAATTCCTCTTAGGTAATTGTCATTTTATAGCATTAAACTGTCAACTAAAGGCAATCCACTGATGTTTGTATTGTGTTACACAGAGTATTAATGTGAGATTCAAAGCAATAGTTAACTGAAGTACATGACATAACATAGCTGTATGTTGTGAAGTATTATATACTTTTATAATAGACTCTGTTAATCAAATCTACCTGATAATCTTATCCTCTCACTTTCCTGAGAGAATGATCTGATGACTGTGGAAATTTATAGAAATTTATCTCCCTGTGATTGAATTGAGAGTACATTTACCCATTTTGTCCAAAAAACCCTTTTCATTTGATAATGTCATCACCAAAAAGAGAGTTTGATATTTTGCAGGAATCTAGTAGCTATGTGGATGGATTTTGGTAAACAGACATTGAAATGAAACTTCTCAAGTAATAAAATTCTTCTTTTCTAATAAATTTCTTCTTTTCCCTGTCTACTTATACATTTTCTTCATCTAGAAGTTGCCATCTAATAATATTATAAAATAGTGATTTATTGTGCTTCAAGAAGTAGTTCTGACATTCTTTCTTCATCTTCTCCTTCCTAGAATTGGTTTTGTGTTCATTCTTAATACAGATGATGAAGTTGATGGAACAAATGATTTTGGAGTTGCTCTTTGGCGAGCTTTCAATTATATTGCAGAAGAACTTAGTGTATCAGAAGCATTTATTTATATACTAGAGGTGAGTTTATTCACTAAATATTTCTTCAGAATGTATAATTTTTTGCATCACTATAATAATTATTTATTGTAACATTTCAAGGTTTGTAAAAACCATCATGGAGATTAATAGAGCTGATGAATTTGATTTTTCAACTCCCTACTGAAGTACATAATATTGTCCTCACTTTATAAATTAGGCAACTGAGGCTCTGCTAAAATATATGAATTTACTTAGGTTTACCCAACCAAGGTAGGAATTTAAAGTACATGTATAAAATTAAAGGAAAACATATTAATAGAAAATGATTTTCAGGGAAGATCATCGAACTACATTTTGAATAAAAGCATGATTAAAATATCATTGCAAAATTAAATATTCTAAGTGACAAACTATATAAATGCTTAGAAAATTTCAAAGGAGGAAATCACTTACTGACTGTAAATTATGTGTGAGAGAGGTAAGATTAATAACTGAGTCTGACAAAGAGATTCTGTAAGAGTTGTCAGAAATTGGTAAGAACCTGATTAAAGAAGAACAAGAGACAGTAAGATTATTTCATAATTCAGATTTTCAAATTTGGTTGTAGCTCACTGTGGAAAAGTAAATGTATTAAAGAGCTATATTGTTATTACTAAGAAAAGTCAAGTTATAACTTAAAAAAACTTCTATTTATTTTAATATTTAATATTCATTGGGCTTTAGTTTGTCAGTATTGTAACAAGGAATGACTGTTCTTCAAACTGAGAAATAAATTTCCAAAACAGTGTGAATTTCTTACCCTATTTCTATAGCTCCGAGGAAAATCACTGAATACCTCATTAATTCACTGAACTAGGATATAGAAACTACGTGTTAGTGATTTGGAGGGTACAGTTTGCTCTATAAAATAGTGTCATGGAGTATGTGTCAACATTATATCTCAGTTTATTATTTTTACTTAATGGTGTTAAGAGTTTATAAAGGACTTAGGCAAATTAACTTACATATTTCATTAAGATTCAACCACTTTATTGTAAAAGGATCAGTATGATATTCAAAACTTAGAAATCTGAAAGTGTTCAGAAATTATCTTTACCTAAGTTATCTCAATTATCAGTATTGAATCTCTATTCTGTAAGCAGTTTGTATCAGATGTTAATTTGCATATGATGGCATAATCTACAGTGTTCAGCACAATATAATGTCTTGGAACATTATAATTCAAAGTAATTTGGTAAATTACACTTGAAATCATAGGGTTTAATATAAAGCAGCATAAAAATGTTAAATATGTGGCATAGCCTGTAAGTTGTGCTAAACAATTAGAATAAGAAGTAGAGAAATTAATGAGGAGGGAAAAATTAGAGAAAGCCTATTAAAATCTTCTGGGATCTGTAGTAAGAAAGTGGATAGTTATTTAGAATATGCTTATGACCTCCAAATTTTTGTATCTCAAAATCCCATAGAAAATCACATTATTGAGCCAGCATTTTGTTGGGAGTATATTTTTTCTTTTAGATGACTTTACCTCACTAATTTAAAATAATTTGAACAAAATACAGTTTTTGAGGAAAATACATGTATCATAAAAATCTCTTTAAAACTGTTTCACTGCTTTCAATTAGCAAATTACTTTATCCAAATCAAATAATTTGGAAAAATACTATCAAGAGAAATGATAACTATAATATAGACCAAAATAATAATAAAAGTATATGAAAATTACTGAAATATGAGACGCAAATAGCAAAAGTTAATCCAATCACATCTACCATCATACTAAGTGCAAGTGAACTGAACTTAAACATACTTGGAAGAAAGAATATTAAAAAAATAGAAAATTATGAACAAGACAAATATTTAACAAATGAAACCTACATTAACTATAAAATATTATGGGAAATAAACTTTAGGAAAAAGTACTAAAGTTATATGTTGCTAACCAAGTAGCCTTAAAATACACAATACAGAATTCGATAGGGGGAGAAATGGGAAGATCCACTACTATAGTAGATTAGTTCACCATTTCTCTCTCAAGGTGAAGCAGATAAAAAAGTGAGTAAAGATGTGTAAGATTTGAACAGTTAGCAAACTGAATTTACAAGGCAAATATAAAATCCAGCAGAGAATGAAGTGATTTTGCAATCAAACAAAAGAGGAAAATGTAAGTCTTTTAGTTAGTAAAGAAAGGCTTAAACATACTGATTAGCCATTCAAAAATGAATAATTCTTTTTTAAGGGAGGTATAAAAAAGTAATAAAATAAGAATAGATATTAATGAACTAAGAAACAGAAATATAAATGAGAGGCTCAAGAATATATAATTTGATACTCTGAAAAGACAAAACTAACAAACCATCATGGAGGTTGGATTCCAAATGAGCATCCCAGTAATAGGAGGTAGAAGCTACCTTCTTAAGGCCTAGGCTTAGAAACTGGCACATCATTATTGTCAGTGTGTTCAGTTGTATTCTTTTGTTCAAATAGTAGCAGATCCAAATTCATATACCTTCCTTTTAATGGAAGGAGTCTTGAAGAGTTTGGAGACCATGTTTTAAAACCTTTGACAGCAAATTCTATCAAATATTTGAATGTTCGAAGAAATAATAATTTCAGTCTTTAAAATATATTTTAGGGAATAGAAAAAGATGAAACATTTCCTAAATCACTCTATGAACTTTGTATAACCTGATGTCAAAGCCTAACAAAAACAAAAAAGGAAAAAGTATAGGCTATTGCCTATTAGGAATATAGATGCCAAAGTCATAAGCAAAACATTATCAAAGTAAATCTAGCAGGTATATAAAAGATAACTAAGGTGAGATTATCTAACGAATGAAAAGGTATTTAAAAATTTGAAGAATCTATAAATATAATACTTCATGTTAATTATATTATCATCTAAGAAGGTGCGTAGAACATTTGAAAAAGTTCAAAGCTTTTTTTTTTTGAGTTGGAGTCTCACTCTGTCACCCAGGCTGGAGTGCAGTGGCCGCTCCCGGCCACCGCAGCCTCAGCCTGCTGACCTCCGGCGATCTTTCCACCTCAGTCTTCCAAGTAGCTGGAACTACAGGTGTGCGCTACCGCGCCTGGCTAATTTTTTTATTTATTGTAGATATGAGGTCTTGCCAAGTTGACCAGGTGGGTCTCGAACCTGTGGACTCAGGCAATCCACTCACCTCGGCCTCCCAAAGCGCTGGGATTACAGGCTAAGCCACCAAGCCCGGCCCAAAGCTTTTTCATGATTGTAAAAACTCATAGAGAAACAAAAATTTAGCAAACTAATATATAAGATAATTTATTTAATTAAATAAATAATAAATAGGACATCTTAGTGGTAAAATACTAAAATCATTGTTTTTACACTTGGAAAAAGATAAGGTACCCATTATCAAAATTTCAAGTTTTGTCCTCAAGTTCCAGTCAGTGCAATAAGAAAAAGAAATAATAATTTATAATACTAAATAGAAACAAATGATTATTCTAGGGTTGTCAACACAGGAGACCCGAAATAATACATTGATTTTTAGGTTTGATAAAGTAGTTTAGTAAGTAACTGAGTTTGAGATAGTATACAAAAATCAGCTGCTTTTACCTGTTGTAATAGCAAATATGTATTACTTACTTTATTCATCAGTTTTATTGAGTGCCTACTACATACCATGCCCTGTTTCAAGTGTTTAGATAAAGTATAAAAATATACTGGCAGTGATCTTTATCCTGATGAGAACATGTATTCCAAAGATTGAAAATATACTTTCTATAGCAACTCCATTTAGAATGACAAAATCAAATAAAAAATCCTTACAGATAAATGAGGAGGAAAAGATGACTTTTGTAGAGAAAATGTTGAGTCATAGAAAGCCATTAGAAGGCAGATATAAAGATGGCTTGCTAGATGCAGCAGATGCAGCTCTTCGATGTAGAGGAACTCCAAAGTACTGAATAAACCTTGACATTGTGAGTGGATCTTTTGAGGGAAAACACTGTAATTTAGTAGAGAGGTGACAAAAGACACTATAATTGAAGAGGAGGAAGTGGGACTGCCTGCTTAGTGTCACTAGGCACCAGGACACGGACCAGACACAAGAAAGGGATAAATGAAGGAACCCTGGAGTTCCACTTTTAGGAGCAGACCTCTGGGATCCTAGCTGCAGGAGTTGCCACAACTCCCATACATCTTTTACACAGGAAGCTGCCAAGAGAACACACAGAGGCACTGCTTAAACCCACGTGGAGCCCAAAGGCTTCATCATGCTGGGAAGCTAGCTGCAGGAAAACAGGTCTCTGAGCATCTACCAACCAAGGCTCTGCATCCTACCCCATACACCGGCAGCTCCTAGAGCAGAGCTGGGGTATGCTCAGGCACCCAAGACAGGATCCACTGCCATTGCCGCAAGACTAAAGTGCATCTAAAATATGCACCCCTACATCTGCTGATCTCTTCCAAGACTGTGTGCTTGGCCATCCCTGCAGTGGAAGGCCCACAGCATAGCCTCTTTGTCCCACCTGAGTGTCTTACTGGCAGTATGGGAGCAGTTCGTTCACTCATCACCCTCAGTGCTTGATCCTGAGGGGTCAGAGGACAAATCTGCTGGCCTGATCCCAGTTCTTCAGGACTTGAGCACACCACCCAGGTATATGAAGATGAGATGTATGGCCTGATTTCGAGTTGGGAATAGCCCCAACTGTCAGAACACAGAGAAGAATATAACATGGGTTAGTGTGGTAGCATGGGAGCTGAGCACCTCTCTTTTTTTTTTTCTAAGGCAAGAGAAGAAAAATTATTTATTAAAAGTGACCAAAAAGCCAAACCAAAACAAAAAGAGTATGGATTGATGGATTGAAGGAAAGATACTGGGAAGGATGCATTAGGAAATGAGTAATTTGATAGAGCAGGTCAAGAGAAAGAAAATAAATACAATACTATCTTGAACCCCATAGTAAGGAGCCCATTTATGATAGATTAAGCAATTAGCAATCACTAGAAGAACAAGAAGATATTCAAAATATTCAGGCTGCTTGTTTACTTATATTTGTTTATATTTACTTATTTACTTTACTTGAATATTTACTTATATAGTTTACTTATATTCATAAGTTCTATAAGAAATTCTACAATCCTTTTTTTCTATTTTTTAATTTTAAAGATGTGGGGTACAATTCAGGATTAGGTATACAAGTGGTCATTGCACAGGAAAAGTTTGGACCTCCCTTTGGTCCTGGTTTGAGATCAGGTACCCTTATTGATGTTGTAACCTTCTACCCTCCCTCCCCACCCTGACAGGATCCTGCTTCTGCCAATCCCTTTCTTATAGTATTATGGTGAATGTTCAGACTTCGTTTATGAGAGAGAACATATGATACTCTGTTCTTTGTTTCTGTGCTAGATCACTGAGTATGATAGACTCTAAATCCATCCAAGTTGCTAAGTCCATTTGTTTGTCCTTCTTTATGGCTGCATAATATTCCATTGTTTACATGTATCACTTTTTTTTTTAATCCAGTCCAGTTTCGATTGGCAGCATGGTTGGTCCATATTTTGCTATTGTGAATACTGCTGCAATAAACATATGTGTGCAGGTAATTTTTTTGTAGAATGATTTGAGTTCCGGGTATATTTTCAGTAGGGGGATTGCTGGGTCATATGGAAGGTCAATGTCTAGTTCTTTTAGAAATCACCAACGATACTTTCCAAAGAGGTTGTACTAGTTTGCATTCCCACCAGCAGTGTAGAAGCATTCCATTTTCTCCACATCCTCACCAGCATCTGTTGTTGTTTATTTTATTAATGATGGCCATTCTTACTGGGGTTAAGGTGGTATCTGAATGTGGTTTTGATTTTCATTTCTCTGATAGTTAGTTAGACTGAGCATGTTTTCATGTGTCTGTTGGCTGCCCGTATGTTTTCTTTTGAAGAGTGTGTATTCATGTCTTTTACCCACTTTTTAATGGGGCTATTTGTTTTTTACCTTTCAGCATGCTTGAGTTCCTTGTAGGTCCTGATGTTAGGCCTTTGTTGTAAGATACAGTTGTCAAATATTTTTTTTCCCATTCTGTGGGCTGTCTCCCCACTCTCTTGCTGGTTTCTTTTGCTTTGCAAAAGTTTTTCAGTTTGTTGAGGTTCCACCTGTCTGTCTTATCTCTTATGGCATGGGCACTTGGGAATTTGATCAGGAATTAGTGAGCACCTCTCTCTTTGTGAGACCAGACCAGGAAGAGTGTGGCCTGATATCCGAGGTTTCTGCTTTAGATACTCTTATAGCTGGACTATGGATTGTACAGAAGCTCAGTGACATCCAAGAGAAAGTTGAAAATTAACACAAATAAACCAGGAAAACAATTTAGAAAATGAAAGGCAAGATAGATTAAAGGGAAAAACCAAACAGAAGTTCTAGAAATGAAAAATTGAGTGAAGGAACTTAAAAACACAGTTGAAAGCTTTAAAAATAACCTAGATTAAACAAAAGAATACATTTCAGAGCTTGAAGACCAGTCTTTAGAATTGACCCAGTCAGACAAAAACAAAGGAAAAAGAATTTTTTAAAAATGTAAAAAGGCTTCAAGAAATATGGGATTATGTGAAGTGACCAAACCTATAAATTATAGGCAGTCCTGAGGGAGAAGAATAAAAAGTAAGAAATTTGGAAAACGTATTCGAGGAAATAAATCAAGAAAATTTCCCCAGACTTAGAGATGTAGATATCCAGATACAAGAAATTCAGAGAACAACTGAATTTAGTATATAAAAGTATATCAAACAAACATCACCAAGGCATAGAGTGATCAGACTATCCAAGATAAATGTGAAAGAAGAAAGCTTAAAAGCAGCTAGAGAGAAGTGTCAAATCACCTATAGAGGAAATCCCATCAGACTACAAGCTGACTGCTTAGCACAAACCTTACAAGCCAAAAGAGTCTGGGGGCCCATATTAGATTTGTTAAAGACAAAAAAAATGTCAGCCAAGAATTTTATAATCTGTCATACTCAGCTTCATACATGAAAGAGAAATAAAGTCTCTCCCAGATAAGCAAATGCTAAGGGAACTTGTCATCACTAGAACTAGACTGGCCATATAAAAAATACTCAGAGGAGGTCTAAATGCAGAAATGCAAGGACACTACTTGCCATTATAAAAGTACATATAAATAAAAAGCACACAGATTCTATAAAAGTTACACAATTGAGAATACAAAGAAATTGGCTTAATTTTTTTTATGTTTATTGTAGAAACGAGGTCTTGCCAAGTTGCTCAGTCTGGTCTCGAACCCGCAGGCTCAGGTAGTCCACTCGCCTCAGCCTCCCAAAGTGCTGGGATAACAACCTGAGTGACCAATCCAGTGATATTCTTAATTTATGTATCAATTCTGCCTAATAGTATTTATACTTATTAGCTGTTCCTTCTGCTTATAAGGCTCTTTCCCCAGAATGTGTTGATGCTAGCTGAGTGTTCATATTTCTGTCTCGGCTCAATTATGTACTCAAAGATACCTTCTCACTTGATGCAACCCCAAAAACAGCACCTAGGGTATAATAGAGGGTCTATAAGTAGTTATTAGAGAGAAAAATGAAAAAAATATTAGAGGAGTGAGAGTTTATGTTTTACAAGTGTATTTAGAACATTTAAGACTGGGGGAAGAGTGGAGGTGAAGAGAAAATCTAGACAAAATATTGACTTATATGTAATCAGAAATGAAAATAAAGTAGTTCTGAAATAAATCATTTTAGAATATGTTACCTTTTTAAAGAAAAGCAACTGTTATTAAGAATCATGTTATCTGGTCTGATCAAAATAAAATATAACTTACAATTTGTTATATTTTTAAAAGCTATAGAATACTTTAAAACCATTTTTATTAGAAGGTGATAATATTGCATAGTTAAAATTATTTATTTATTTATTTGTATGTGGTTTATTATTTGTATGTGGTTAGTATGCTTAGAATTTACAAATTAAAAAATTTTCTTTCTTTTACAAATATATCTGCTTGCTAAGGAAAAGAAAGAAAACTAATTGCTGTAAGAAGAAAATTAATTCTAATATATCTCTTTCCACAGATGTACAAGGAAGCGAAGGATCAAAAATATATACTTACTGTGGAGAATGTGAAGACTTTTCTCCAAAATGAATTTCCTCATGCTAATATTTGGGATGTTTTGGGAACTCATTCTAAATATGATAAAGAACGAACGGTAAATTGGGACATTATGTCAAGTGAAATAAACCAGGAACAGATAGAAATACCATATGATTTCACTCATGTGAAATCTGCAAAAAAAAGTAGAAGCAGAAAAAAATGGACACACTTGACTTATTTAGGAAGTACCATCCAGGACCTACTGCTGGATTGAAAAGGGTAGAGAGGAGATGAGAAATCGTCTAGGATGACTTCCAGGGTTCAGTTGAGCAACTAACTTAAAGGGTTGTGATGCCATTGCCAAGAGGGAAAGGAGTGGAGGAGAACCAGATTGGGAAATAAAATCAGAAGTTCAGCTTTTTTACATGTAGAATTTGAGGTTCCTGTGAGGCTTCCAAAGGAGATATGAAATAAGTGATTGGATACCTGTTTTGCAGCTCAGGAGAGAGATGAGGGCTAAAGTATAAATTTTGGTGACATTGGCTTATTTGTGGTAATTAGCATTTGAAATGGAAAGTTTGCTTAATTGAAAATCATGTTATATAGTAAGAGCAGAAGACGGCCTGTTATTTCTAGCAGGGACTCCTATTTTGAGGGTGAAACTCATGTATTCAACTACTTAGTTCATAAGCACCCTCAATCAAACGTGTCTAAAACCAAGCTTTTCTTCTTCCTTTTTACCCGAAACCTTTTTTTCTCTTTCTTCCCTGTCCTAGAGAGTAGGTGACTACCATTCATGCAGACCACCTATGCTGGAAGCCTGATAGTCATCCTAAACAATTGTTTTCCCTCATGCCCTTCCAAACCATAGGTCATCAAGTTCTGTCAGTTCCACCTGCAAAATAGTTTGGAGTCTGTTAAATATTTCACAAACTGTTAAATCTTTCAGAAACTGCCTCATTCTTTCCTTGCCCATTACCACTGATATTTGTTCTTGCTGTTGCTTCTTCTTTCTCATAATACTGCAATAGCCCCTGAACCAGTGTCTCTAATATATGCTCTTTCTTTACATTGTTGCCATTGTGTTCTTTTTAAAATAAGCAAATCCAATCATATTATCTATCATGAATTCTCTCACTAGATAGAATTGATCATAATCTCATTGGTACCCCCTGGATACTGTATTCACACTTATTTTTAATGTATCCACCTCTGTCTCTATTAAACTTTACATGTTTCAGGAAAAATTTTTTTGTATTATTTATATGAATTTATAAACCTAATTAATAGTAGTTTTCCAACAAATGCAGAGATAGTATAGTACAGTGGTTAAGAGTTCAGACTCTTGGTCAGACAAGTCTGGGTGCAAATTCTGGTTCCAAAATGTAGTAGCTGTGTGACATTGGAAGTACTTTACTCTCTCTGTATCTGTTTCATCATCTGTAAAATGGATTTAGTAGAGAAGTTCTTAGCTTCCTAGAGTATTTGCGATAAGGCTGGCTATAATAATCATATACTTAGTATTGGATATCAAATGAATGAATTTTTTAGCCATTCTTCATCATTCATAAGGTGAAATTAATATGTTCATGGCCGGGCTTGGTGGCTCAGCCTGTAATCCCGCACCTTTGGGAGGCTGAGGTGAGTGGATTCCCTGAGCCCGTGGGTTCAAGACCCGCCTGGGCAGCGAGACCTCATCTCTACAATAAATCAAAAGATCAGCCGGGCGTGGTAGCACGTACCTGTAATTCCGGCTACTTGGAAGGCTGAGGCGGAAGGATCGCTGGAGCCCAGCAGGCGAGGCTGCGGTGACCGGGAGCGGCCACTGCACTCCAGTCTGGGCGACAGAGTGAGACTTCAGCTCAAAAAAAAAAAAAAAAAAAAATATGTTCATGATCTGACCTCTGTCCAAATTCCTCTGACTATATCCTACAGCTCTCTCCCAAACATCACACCCCATAAGCCCAGCAAATTTTTGTTTCTTTCCTCCCAGTCCTTATTTTGATACATCTTGACTTGTAATGTCTTTCTTTACTTTATCTCCCCTGAAAACCTTTATTAATCCTTTAAGACTTTCAATATCACTCCCTAAAAGAAGCCTTCTATGATTTATACTCAAGCTATTTATACTCAACTTATACTCAAGCTTGGTTAGATGCTTCTCTTCTGGGCCCCTTGTACTTGCTTCTGTTTTGTTTGTATACTCAATATGAACCTCTTGAGGGAAAACTAAGTGTCTAGCCCAGTGCTGGCGGCATGACTGAATATGTGTTTATTGATCATGTTAATACAGAGAAAACAGGTCTTGGGTGTAGGTAAACGTTTGTGTTTTTACTTTTAAGTGTCATACTCTGTATCAAGGATCAGCAAACCCACCAACTGCTTGTTTTTGTGATTAAAGTATTTTGGGGACACAGCCATACTTGTTGATTCATGTGTTGTCTATGACATTTTGTGCTATAACATCAGAGTTGAGTCATTGTGAAAGAAACTGACTGACTCACAAAACCTAAAATATTTACTATCGGGCCCTTTACAGAAAAAGTTTCCTGACTCTTACTCTATGTAGGTAAATTACTTTCCTTTAAGTAATATTTGGAAAGGACAGTTAAAATGAGCAAAGTTGACATTTTTTCCTCTGGCATATAAAAATGTGGCAATGTCCCTTTTTTTAAACAACCATATTTGTTTAATACTCTATTTTTTCACTGATTAGGCTGGAGCAAGCTTTTATAAGATGACTGGTCTGGGTCCTTTGCCTCAAGCTCTTTATAATGGTGAACCATTAACTCATGAAGAGACTAATAGTATATACCTAAGAATGGCTGTTCTTCAGAGAATGATGGATACATCTGCAGATTTACAAAATGAAGTTTTTATGGTAGGTAAGCATTTATAAACAAATATATAATGACTGATACTTCGTATTAAGAATTTCTTTTAATGGCTAATTTGATAAAACTTTTTGTTCTGTAATTAAAAACAAATTTTAATTAAATTTATCTTTTATATAAGTACAGCTTAAATTACTTAACGGGAGAGAAAATTCTAATTTTTATTAAAAGATGTATTATGGTAATTCTTTTTTTGCAGCAGCAGCAGAAGTGAGACTTTAATGGCAGTCTTGCAAGATCTGATGTCTGGTGGGCAGGCCTACAGTAATTTCTAAATTGCATGTTATTTATTTTTAAAGTAACCATTAAATATATTATCTGCATTATTTTATTTTATTTTATTTTATTTATTTATTTTTGAGTTGGAGTCTCACTCGGTCGCTCAGACTGGAGTGCAGTGGTTGCTGCCGGCCACCGCAGCCTCGCTTGCTGGGCTCCGGCGATCCTTCTGCCTCAGCCTTCCAAGTAGCTAGAACTACAGGCGCCTGCTACCACGCCCAGCTAATTTTTGATTTATTGTAGAGATGAGGTCTCGCTGCCCAGGCGGGTCTCGAACCGGCGGGCTCAGGCAATCCACTCACCTCAGCCTCCCAAAGGCACGGGATTACAGGCTGAGCTACCGAGCCCGGCTATCTGCATATTTGTGTGTGTGTGTGTGTGTTGGAGTCTCACTCTGTCGCCCAGACTGGAGTGCAGTGGCCGCTCCCGGCCACCACAGCCTCAACCTGCTGGGCTCCGGCGATCCTTCCACCTCAGCCTTCCGAGTAGCCGGAATTACAGGCACACCTACCACGCCCGGCTGATTTTTTGATTTACTGTAGAGATGAGGTCTCCCTGCCCAGGCAGGTCTCGAACCCGCGGGCTCAGGCAATCCACTCACCTCAGCCTCCCAAAGGCGCAGGATTACAGGCTGAGCCACCGAGCCTGGCTTATCTGCATAATTTTAAAACATGTATATGGACGGGGTGCAGTAGCTCATGCTGGTAATCCGAGCACTTTGGGAGGTCAAGGCGAGAGGATTGCTTGAGCCCAGATGTTTGAGACCAGCTTAGACAACATTGTAAGACCTTGTCTCTACAAAAAAATTTAAAAATTAGCTGGGTGTGGTGGTATATGCCTATAGTCCCAGCTACTTAGGAGACTTAGGCAGAAGGATCACCTGAGCCCAGGAGGTCAAGACTGTAATAAGCCATGATTGTGCCAGTGCTCTCCAGTCTGGAAGACAGGGTGAAACCCAGACTCAAAAAAATAAATAAAAATAAAATATGCATATAAATCGCCTATATTATCTAAATAATATTTTTGTTATTTTAGGGCACATTAAATGATCACATGGATGCAGTTGATTTTCTAATGGATAAGAATAATGCTGTACCTCGTATAAATTCTTTGATTTTGCACACTAAACAGCAGTACCTTAATTTAATATCTACATCAGGTAAAATAATCCTTCACATACTATTGTACAAATGCTTATTGAGTTGTAAATCCTTTATTAATTCATTATTTAACATTTAATATGAATTTTTTCAGTAACTGCTGATATTGAAGATTTCTCTACTTTCTTTTTCTTGGATTCACAAGATAAGAGTGCTGTAATTGCAAAGAGCATGTGTTACTTAACTCCAGATGGTAAGCTTATTTTATTTGCCAATATTTATTTCTAAAGTGATAAAAAATTACAATGTTTATAAGGTGATTGCATCATAAGTTTAATATGTTCCTATTTTTTACTAGAAGCCTGGATTTCAATTTCAGAATTTATAATTTGTTAAGATTTAAGGACTGTACTGAGAAAATGATGCCTCCTAGCTTATCATATATGCGGAAGGAGTTTATCTTGTTTCTTTGCCTTTTTTTTAAAGTAAGCTATTTCTATCTTTTTAAAAAAGGAATAAAACCTTTTCAAATTATGTAAACTGGTATTTTATAATGTATCAATAAAAGTACATTTCCCAGATCAGAAAAGATAGTAGTTCTGCATTCTGATTACACAACATCTGGATGTTTTCCTTAGGTTGGGGGTTACAACCAGAGCTGGAGAGACCAAGACAGTAACACATTTGAAAATAATGATTTAGCATAAGCAGAGAAGTCTCAGTGAAACTACAGATTTTTTTAGGGTAAATTAACTATTCAGATAGACAAAGATAATTAGAATTTGGCTTTTGTTTTTGCTTTGTTTTGCTTGGCCTGCTTTGCTCTAGAAATAGAAAAAAGAGCCTGTAAGGCTGAATTTCGGGTCTCAGCATAGGAGTGGTAACTTTCTAATAGTGAGAGTGATCTAAAGATGGAATGAACTATCTTGTAAGGGTCAACTTTTATAGATGAGAGTGATTTAACACAAAAACTGTACAACTAGTTTATGAAAATGTTGTAGATTAAATCTTTCTACCAGGTGGCTCCTGAATTACTTCCTCACATATTACATGATTTTGTGTTCATAAAGTAGTCTGTCTACAAGAAATCCAGCAAATAATAAAATATAATGCAGTTCCTTCTTATGGCAGGCTACAGCCCTGAATATGTCAAGTGAAGGCAAAAATAGAGAAATAGGGAAGAAGAAATAGAAACATATATTTATCAGGTTCTGAGTTGTATTTCAAAAATGTCTTTGGGCATCAGAATAAGTTACTTTATAATAAACCCAACATAGTGATACACACTGGTAGTCCCAGCTACTCGGGAGGTTAAGGTACGAAAATTGCATGAAGCCAGGGGTTGAAGGTCTGTCTGAGGAATATAGCAAGATGCTATCTTTAAATTTAAAAAAAAAGAATAGCAGGACCCTGTCTTCAAAAAAAATTTCAAAAAAAAATATATTAAAAAGAATAAGCCTGAAATTAAATGCCCTTTGGTTAAATGGCTTGCAATTTAAAAGAATATTAACACAGACCTAATTTTCTCTTAATGTAAATTTATTTTTTAAAATAGATTTGAGAAATTTACTTAGCACTTTTGAAATATTTCTCAGTTTACTAGATGTGATGGTGTAAACACTGACATTAAAAAGGCATTGGAATTTTTTACCTTTCTTCTTAAAGAAGAATGTGTTGCTGCTTTTTTCTTAAATTGCTTCTGAAGATTACAAGTGAAATCAAGGCTATCCTTTTTGTTACATTTTTTTCTTCTTTCATTAACCAAAGCTAGCTTTTGTATAATTAGATAATACTGTGATAATAACTGTAGTTGCAAATCTATTCAGGAGTGAGTTTTAGTTATTTTTAGGTAATTTTTTTTTTACAATTATTTTAAATTGGTTACCTGGTCTAAGGACCAGTTTTTCTATAGGTTTTAATGATGGCCAAACAAGTATCATTTAAGGTATTCTACGTTATAGCCAGGTGAAATTAAACCCATTTAACTGTGATTCAGAATTTTAAATGATTTCTTCATATGGATTACAAATTTTCAAATTTTTTTGAAAAGAAATTTTATGAATGTTGATGTGATAAATTGATGCAAATTAGGCCAAGTTAATGATAGCCAAACATTTTGAAATAAATAAATTGTAAGCTAATAAAATGTTCTATTTTCTATACCTCTGAATACACTTGATTGTGTCTGGTTTTATATGTATGTGGAGTATAAATATCAAATTAAATATATGGGGTATAAATACCTTTTTTGTTTCTGTTTTTTGCAAATCTAACTAAAAGTTTTGTGTACCAACACTGGGAGCTTTATATAAAGCTTATACAATGAATTACTCTCCTAGTATATGTATACATATGTATGAACACACATACACATATAATATTTACCTGTCTTTGCTTATTTTCAGAAATATTAATTTTAATGTATTTATTATTATTTGTATGTGTTAACTCAAACGTTCCCCTGCTTTTATTTTAATTTTTAAAAGAATTAATTTGACTAGACTATTTGAAACTTTCAGATGACAGTATAATTTCTGTAGTCACTCTCTGGATTATTGCTGATTTCGATAAGCCATCTGGGAGAAAACTGCTTTTTAATGCATTAGAGCACATGGTGAGTATCTAGATATTCTTACTACAAAAATTTTAATTTATTGCAATTTCAAGAAAGCAGTATGAAGAACATGCTTTAAATCCTTATTCCCTTCCATGTTAATGTTTTAATTAATTAAGGAGACTAAGATAGAAATTCACATTTAAGACAGGTAACTTTGCCCAGGAAAAGAAAAACTAACCTGTCTTCTGTGATTCATGATCTATGTAGTATCTGATAGCCCTAATGATCAGACATATACATATCTAATATTGGTTATAAGTAAGGTATTAAAACAAAGTAAATAACTCTAGGACCTATACTATCTCAATGACCCCAAATCTACTATTTACCAACAATAGCTAATAATAGCAATTTTAGTCACATAATTAAGCAACACTTTCTCTCCTGATTATTTAAGAAAAACTAAATTTATCTCACTGAAGAATATTTTAAGTCTTAAGTCAACCTTAATTTTCTTGTTATTAGATATGTATAAACCAGTGTACATCAGGTGGATATAGTTGTCTATATTTTTATAAAAGTACTCTTTTATAACCTGTGTTTCTTAGGGAACATATAGGTCTATATAGACAAAAAACGCTTAGATGTAAGCCAAAATATTGAATGAAATTGTTTTTTATATTCGTTAAGTGTAACAAATGCTGCATAACCAGTTACCCTCTAACTTAGTGCTTACAACAATGAACATTTTTTCCCCCACCGGTTTCTGAGGTGCTAGGATTCAGGAGCTAAAAACTTAGCTGAGTGGTTCTGACTTGAATTCTTTCATGGGGATGCTGTCAAGATTTTGGTTATAGTGTCAGTGATCTGAAGACTTCACTGGAACTAGAGGGTGCGCTTCTAAGATAGCTCACTTGCCTGCCTTTTAGCAAGAGTCCTCAGTGTTTCACTGGCTTTTAGCAGACTGCTTCATTCCATTGCCTCATAGACCCAATTTGGTGTTGTTTAAATGTCCTCACAACATAGCAGCTGGTTTTCTCCAGTTTACTAAAGAAATAAAGACAGAACCGTGGTGTCATTTAAGATGCACAATGTTTTTCTGGTTTGTTACACAGATCACTTCTATTTAGTGTGAGAAGGGGCTATAGAAAGGCATGAATGCCATTGGGACCATCTTAGAGGCTGGCTATCACATTAAGAATAAATAATACGTTCTAAATAGAACATCATGACATCTGTTAAGAGATTTTTTTATATAATATTAGAGAATGCATTTGGACTTTTCTCAGTGGCCTGCCAACTAGCAAGTTTCAAAAAAAGGTTGTTTGGGATCTGTCTTTTCTGCTGGGAGAAATTGCCTTCTGCCTGCTCTTTCTTCTTAAGCTATTCTGGGAGCTTGTTCTCTGAGAGGCTCACAAACTGCCGTTCCCCATTAGTTGATTATATAGAAGGTAACTTTCCCTTGATTTTTAGTTAGTTGCTTCTTCTGTAAGTTTTAGAAATGCTGTGTCAGTTCTTTATTTCTTACAGGATGGATGGTTGTTTTTATCATCTCAAAGTTTTTAAAAATCTACCTTTAGAACAATAAATTAAATTTATTTATATTTGAAGGACATGTTTTATATATGAAGGGCATTATTTATATATGAAGTATATGAAGGGCAGCAATTTTGAAGAGTAGAAATCGTTTGGAATTCCAACATGTTATCCTTTGGAAATAAAAAAATTGAAAAAAAGCCTTTGTCTAATATCATTTCACTGTAGTTTTTTTTTAAATTACACACAAGTATTTAAATTCTTTTCTTGGTTATTTAAGTATCACATGTCCCTTATAGACAATCAAAAGTACAGAAAAGAAAATGTGAACAAAGAAGAAAAAATAGTCACCCATAAAACATATTACCAAGAAGGAATCGATTTTGGTTTTTAGGTGTATTTTCTTCCTGAATTTTTTTTTAATATTCATTTTTACATAGTTGAAATCATCACTTACAATTTTATCAAAATAGTTTTCTAATAATATTAAACATTTTCGTGTCAACAAGAATTCCAACAAATATATAATATACTATCCACATGAAAATAGCTAGTAATATAGAAAATTCAGGTAGTTTCTAGTTTTTAGCCACTATAGTTGTTAATGCTGTCATAAAAAATTTTGAATATATAGCTTATCTGTATTTTTATTTTCTCTTAGAATAGGTTACTAAAAATGAGTGTACTGAGCCAGGCACAATGGCTCATACCTGTAATCCCAGCTACTCAGAAAGCTGAGGCAGGATTACATGAGGCCAGGAGTTCAAGGCTAGCCTAGGCAACATAGCAAGAGTTTATCTCTAATTTAAAAAAAAAAAATTTTTTTTTTTCAGCCAGGCTCGGTGGCTCAGCCTGTAATCCCACCATTTGAGAGGCTGAGGTGAGTGGATTGCCTGAGCCCGCGGGTTCAAGACCCTCCTGGGCAACTTGGCGAGACCTCATCTCTACAATAAATCAAAAAAATTAGCCGGGCATGGTAGTGCACGCCTGTAGTTCCAGCTACTTGGAAGGCTGAGGCGGAAGTATCGCCGGAGCCCAGCAGGTCAAGGCTGTGGTGGCCGGGAGCGTGCCACTGTACCCCAGTCTGGGTGACAGTGAGACGCCAACTCAAAAAAAAATTTTTTTTTTTTAATTAGCCAGGCATGGTGGCATACTTCTGAAGTCCCAGCTACTTGGGAGACTGAGGCAGTAGGATCACTTGAGCCCAGAACTTTGAGACTACAGTGAGATATGATTATGCCACTTCACTCCAGCCTGGATGACAGAGCAAGATCCTATCTCTAAAAAATAAATAAATAAAAATTAAAATAAAAATGAATGTTCTGCTTATAAGGATAGTTATTTTTAGACTTTTGATAATTTTTAAAAATACAAATGGATGTTAATTTCCATAGTTTTTAGAGACTCTGTCACATCACAGTATTGAAGGCCTTTGTTTTTGCTATACCTATTCTTTCTACCAATTTGAAAACAAAAGTGGCCTTTTATTTATATTTATTTGGTAACTAATGGTATGAACCATTTTTCTGTGTTTATTAGCCAGTTACGTTTCTTCTTTTCTGAATAAATATATCATTTACATTTGAATACATATGTCCTTTGTATATATACTCTATTTATTAGTGTATTTATTTATTAAATAAATGTTTGAGTGACTACTATGCCTTAGGTTCTGGGAGTATATTAGTATACAAAACTAAGATCCCTCTTCTTGTGCAGCTTAAATTCTAGCAAGAATGGGTTGGGTGAGGAGACAGAAAATAACTGAGAGATTTAATAAATAAGTTGAGTTAATAAGATAGAACAAGTAAGAGAGTGAGAAGTACTATGGAAAAAGAAAAATAACAAGGTATAGGAAAATCAGGAATACAAAACTAAGTTAGATAGATTACAATTTAAAATAAAGATGGCAGGATAGTCCTCACTGAGAAGATGGCATTTGAACAATGATGTGAAGGAATCAAGTGAATTGAACATTCAAATGCTAAGAGAAAATGTGTTCTCAGCTGAGTGACTAGCTGATGTAGAGGCAGTAATGCAAGGACATCCTTTATATAGGAAGGCAACGAAGTATGTGGCTAGAACACAGTAAGAAAAAAGATAAGAGATGATATAACAGAGGAATGAGATTCCAGATCACATAGGGCGTAGGTGTTAAGGTTTTATCATTAAATCATGGAAGCATTTTTGTAGATTAACATTTTGGATGTCACTTTACATTTTCTTTAATACCTTATTTAAATTAGTGTGTGATGTTTTTCGACAGTTAAAAATATTTCTGTATTAGAGCTATCAGCCTTTTAAGTTTATTTCATAATTTTTAAACTTGGAATTTTTATTCTATCAATGATTATCTTTACATATATAAAAAGATATATATATCAACTATTTTGAAGTCAAAACAAAATAGTAACTTTTAACTTCTCATTGACAAGGATCTGAGGGATGTCTTTGAGTTATGGCAGTGCTCTTTTTCTTGACCTGGGTGATAGTTTCGTGGGTTAATGCACTGAGCACTACATTTCTTTTTTTCTATATTTTTTGTGTGTGTCATTTCACATACAAAAAGAAGTTAAGTAAATATTGCATTACGGAATAATTTTTATGCAAAGATATGAAACAATTAGAGTAAAATGGTTGTTTTTTAGGCTATTTTGGTGGTACAACACATTTAGTACAGTCAACAATGAAAGGCTTTAGCCTTGAAAGATGGTATATGGCAAAATGAACGAACTTGGTGGGAAAGAAAATATGTTCAACCGTAACAAGGTATGTAAGGTATTAGTCATTTTAACCTATAAATGTGTTTTGCAGAAAACAAGTTTTCATAGTCGGTTGGGAGTTATTTATAATCCTACATCAAAAATAAATGAAGAAAATACAGCTATTTCTAGAGGAATTTTGGCAGCTTTTCTTACACAGGAAAACGGCATTTTGAGAAGCTTTCTCAGGAAACTGGCAAAGGAAGAAACTGCTACAGCTATTTATACTGGAGATAAAATTAAAACATTCCTTACTGAGGTCAGTACTATTTGTTCGAAATAATAAATATGTGTTGCATATTTCAAAAGTATAGTTCAGTGTACTTGGAGATATCATGTTACTTAAAAGCATCAATAAATAAGTATAATCAACTGGAATAGTAAACATTCCTTTTACAGTAGAAAAAGATAAACATTAAATGAGAAAACATTGCGTAGAGGCATTTAACAAATCAAATTTCATATATTTTATTAACTAGCTCATGATTTTTATAGTTGATGGCATTCTAATTAGGATATGTACTTAAGTGAGGAATTGGGGGTCAAAGCATTATGTAAATAATGCGCAGATATTTTACTGAAGGTGTCCAGTATGGGGAAATTCCCAAGATGATCATCTAGAAGAAAGAATCATTATCCATTCAGCAAATGTTTATTGACCATATACCACACAATGGAGACAAACTTGTGAACAAGACAGACAGAATCTCTGTCCTTTGTGAGGTTACACTGTAGCAGGACAGACAAAATGATCTTGGAGAAATATAAAGAAACATAAGAGGATGTATAGTTTGAAGGATGCTAATTTCGATGGAGTGGTCAGGAAAGGCATCTCTAAAGAGCTTACATTTGAGCAGAGCTCTGAATGAAACGAGAAATCAAGGCATGGGAAAGGCTGTGGAGAGTCCACCACAGCAAGTGAAGTGTGAAGACCTGATATAGAGACAGTCTTGCTAGGTCTGAGATAGGGATAGAAAATCATTATGACCTGAATAGAGTGAGTGATGTGGAGAGTCTAGGAGATGTGACCAGTGGAATGATAGGTATAAAAATGATGTAGATACAAGAAAGGATAGGAAATCAGGAAATAGAGACAATGACTATAGGTAGCTCTTTTAAGGAATCTTTCTGTACTAGGGAACATGACTGTAGCTAGAGTGGGACTTAGGTCAAGAAAGGATTTCTAAATTTGGGAGGTGTCACCTTTTTGTGTGCTAATAGGAGCAGTACATCCACAAAATGAGAAAGGATGATGTAGAGAAAGGAGCAAAGTAGGAGCAAAGTTCTTGAGTAGATAAGAGGTGCTACGATTCGGTGCAAATTGAAAATCCATTTTAACCAGAAGAAAGGTAGAATATATAAGTACAGATTCAGAAAGGTAAGTTTATTTAGTGATAACCAGATGAAGTATTTCTCTTCTGGTTGCTTTCACTTTCAAAAGTTGGATCATTAGCTAAGTATTACAGTGGGGGAGTCGATGTCTTGGGAGATTTTTTTTTTTTTTAGTTGGAGTCTCACTCTGTTTCCCAGACTGGAGTGCAGTGGCCGCTCCTAGCCACCGCAGCCTCCACCTGCTGGGCTCCAATGATCCTTCCACTTCAGCCTTCCAAGTAGCTGGAACTACAGGCACGTGCTACCACGCCCAGCTAATTTTTTGATTTATTGTAGAGATAAGGTCTCGCCAAGTTGCCCAGTCGGGTTGGGAGATTTGAGGAAGGGAGAAAATGTCAATAAATTTCTATTATTCTGTGAGTGAGAAAGTGAATTCAATACATTAGTGAAAGAAGATTTCTTGTCATTACTGAGGGCCCACTTGAGGTTAATAATCATAAACTAAGCCGGGCTCGGTGGCTCAGCCTGTAATCCCATCCCTTTGGGAGGCTGAGGTGAGTGGATTGCCTGAGCCCGCGGGTTTGAGACCCGCCTGGGCAGCGAGACCTCATCTCTACAATAAATCAAAAAATCAGCCGGGCGTGGTAGCATATGCCTATAATTCCAGCTACTTGGAAAGCTGAGGCGGAAGGATCACCGGAGCCCAGCAGGTCGAGGCTGCGGTGGCCGGGAGCGGCCACTGCACTCCAGTCTGGGCGACAGAGTGAGACTCCAACTCAGAAAAAAAAAATAATAATAATCATAAACTGAAGTAAGATGGGCATTGGTTGCATGTTTTTCTCCAACTGTGTTCCACTGTTTTGATCCAGTTGCAGAGTCCGCATAATTGTGTTTATCCAGGGCTGGAGTTTTGCTAGGTGAATATGAGTAAGGGGAAGCATTCAAGGGAGCTAAACATGGGAAAGGTTTTTTTTTTACAGTAAAGTACTCTGGGATGTTACTTGGTTAGAATGAAAATTATGCCATAGAAAGACTGTTAGACAATGAGTAAATGGTAGTGTCTGTAGACTGAAATGTTGGTCTGGAGATGGGACAGGTTAGGAGGTTGTAGTCAGAGAAGGGATGATTGAAATGGGAATTTTGGAGGTAAGGAGAATCTAGGGCTGCATGGTCTAACACCCTTGCCACTGGCTAAAAATGGCTATTTTTAATTGAAACTGACACTAAATAAAGTTTTTAATTCAGTTTCCCAATTATACTAGCCACATTTTAAGTGCCACATAGTCATCTGAGGCTGTGGCTACCATATTGGACGGTGCAGGGGCACATTTCCGTCAGTGTATGAGCACTCAGGAACGTGTTAGAAATACATAATTTAAGGCTCTGATTCTACTGAAGTAGAATCTACATTTTAACAGGGTATCCAGATGATTGATTTGTGCTTTAAAGTTTGAGTACTGAGAGAGAGAAATATGCTTTAGGAAACTATCTGTTGTTTATTTTCTGTGAAAGTCTATATGTATATATTTTTTTACTTTGACCAAGGGTTACTTTCAGTAATTTAGTATTTAAGTACACTATTGCTAAATTGGTCTTGTGGGATTGGTATAATAAGGAGAGGGTATTTCTATTTTAAACACTTTTTTATTGAAAACACTAAAATGGGGGTAGTGAGTACAGAATGTAATAGACATTTTATTTATTTCTTTAATGTTAAATTTTATTTAAGTTGATGTTCCCTAGCATTTTATTAATTTCATAATGCCTTCGAAATTCTCAAAAAATGAGTAGCAAACTGCATATACTTGTAATAAGATTTAAGCATATTGTAAATGTCTTGGCAAAGAGGATTCTTTTTAAAAATATTCTTTCAAGAAAAAATACTTCTTAAAATTGTAATTTAGTATAATTTTAAACCTTAAACTAATATTTAAAGTAGGCTTTGTTAAGAAAATGGTTTACTATATTCACTATTCTCTTACTACTTTTATCATTCTTAACTTTGCTTTAGGGGATGGATAAAAATGCTTTTGTGAAAAAATATAACACCATTGGAGTTAATATTTTCCAAACTCACCAGTTGTTCTGTCAAGATGTACTTAAATTGCATCCTGGGGAAATGGGTATTGTCAGCAATGGGAAAGTAAGTAGAAAAAGCAATTGCTTACTTTTTTCAGTGACATTGTAATGCAATGGTCTCAGACATTTTTCTGTCACAATTCACCTGATGCAACACACACAGAGAATGGTGTTCCTGTGCTGAACACACCAGACATGACCCAACATAAACAAAATAGGGATATGGCACACTACCTGTTCCTTTACTCCTTCCCCCATTCAATGATAATGATGAGTGCAGGTAAGGAAGAATGTTCTTTATGTGTCTAACTTTTATTTTGTTCTAATGTAAGTATTACTATAAACAACTTGAACACATTACAACATTGTGGTTGAGAACCACTGTTGTAGTAAGTGTAGCAAGTACATTACATCTTTTTTTGTGCCCTTTTTCTGCAGTTGCTTATGTGAAATGACAATTTGATACTTTTATAAATTCTGAAGTATAAAGTAGTATAAGTTACCACTTATTATTTACTATCACACTCTTTAAAACATTATAGGAAAAAAGTCACTCTTACTTCCACTACCCTTTAAAATTTACTATGAATAGCTTATTGACTGGGCATAGTAGCTCATGCCTGTAATCCCAGCATTTTGGGGGACTCAGGCAAGAGGATTGCGTGAAGTCAAGTTCAAAACCAGTCTGGGCAACGAAGCGAGATCCTCAAGTCTAAAAAATGTTTTAAAACTAGCCAGGCATGGTGGTATGTGTCTATAGTCCCAGCTACTTGGGAGACTGAGGCAGGAGGATCACTTAATCATAGAAGTGTGAGACTGGAGTGAGCTATGATCATACCACTGTACTCCAGCCTGGGTGACAAAGTGAGACCCTATTCTCTAAAAAAAAAAAAAAGGAAAGAAAAATAAAGATTTTAAAAGTAGTTTATTGTTTTTCCTTTCAATTCTTTATTCTATATTTAGATAGCCATTTCTGATTTTTTTAAAAAGACATGATTGTAATCCTAGTATACGTAATTTTATATGATGGCTTTTCTCTTTGTAGATCACAAATATTTTTACTATTAGTCTTTATAGACACATACAAAACAAGTGGATATCTATATATTGATATTTTTAGTAGGATAGTCTGATTTTTGCGGGAGTCCAACCTCCGCTGAGTAGGGCCTGAGTTGAGGGGAGGGAATGAGAAAAGAAAGAGACAGAAAAACAGCAGGATTGGGAGGACTCTCTCCCAGGTAGCAAGGAGCAAGAGAGATCAAATTTATTTTACCCGCATGCCTCTTATATAGGATAAGGATCACACAAGGAAGTTACATGTCAATGTCAAGCAGGGTAAGTATCAAAGACTAAACTATGCATATTATAACTATTTATGCTAAGCAAGGTAATCCCTTAAGAGAGCCTCCGGGCTAGGCGTGGTCAGGTCACACTGCTCTGCTATCTGCAGAATAACAGCCAAATCTGAGGGGAGATGAAGGAATTATAGGCTTGGATCCTGGAACACAAGCCAAGAACGTAAGGACCTTGTCAGCTTATGTTCTGGTTTCCTTCAGATTTTATTTCATATACATTATTTGAGTAAAAAATTGAATCTGGTGCTTAGATTTATTAAAAAATCAACTAATGCTGTATGTTCGGTATATCTCTGGCTTGAATTATCAAATTATATATTCCTAAATCATCTCCAGAGTTCTGATGTAGTCTTAATGTTTTATTTTCTACTTGTGTTGAACCCGGGACTTTAATGAGAGAGACAAAGAGACCACAAAGAGCCAGCTCCGATGCAAACACACGAGGGTCTTTATTCAGGCTCGAGTCTGGGCTCACTCCCGAAGCAGCAGCTTCAGGGACCAGAGCCCCGATTCACAATGGCAAGCAGTTTTTATGCACAATTACAGAGGGAGGGGAAAGAACTCCAAACTTGATTTTACATGATTGGGTAATTTCTCCTAATGGGTACGGGAATACCTGGTATTGGTTGGTGCTGCCCGTGATTGACAGAAACCCACGTAATGGTTCGAGTGAAATGTTAGATAAGTTAGGTCCATACAGTCTCGGCTTATGAAGTAACCTGGGCCGGCAGACAAAGGGTTACATTAGCCCTTTTAGTTTACCGATCCAGCCCAAGGCTTACTTAGGAAAGCTTGTTTGCTTAACTTTTGCATAGTCATTATGGGACAACAAAAGCCAAACTTAACAAAGTTTTAAATATGATGCTGCAAACACATACAGTGAATGTGGGGTAGAAAATCATATACTAATTCTGGCAATTTATATAGCAAGCTTATATAGCAAGGCAGTTACTTTTATAAAGGTCTTTGTTCCCTGCAG